ATGAACCCTTCATGGTTTAAAAAGAGTATTTATTGCCTTAGTAGAATTGCTTTTTTTTTATCTTATCAGTGGACACATACACATGGGAGCCTATTGCAAATCTTTAACTTTTGACTTTGGTAGATATTATTATTATTATTATTATTATTATTATTATTATTATTATTATTATTATTATTATTATTACTATTATTATTATTATTATTATTATTATTATTATTATTATTATTATTATTATTATTATTATTATTATTATTATTATGTCACTATCTCATTTTGATCAATCACAACTACAATAACCCCACCCCGGGCTAACGACTTGCTTCATTTAAGTTAAACCCAATAGCATTTCATCCTAGAACATGCATCTTTCAATTATCTTGTTAAAAAACACAATAAACCTTAACAAAGTTGGCAAGACCCATTCTATAAATTCCTCTGCTTTCCCTACTGTATTTTGAAGGAATATATTGTGTTTTTTTTCACAATTTAAAAAACATATGGTTTAGTGTGTGTGTGTGGTGGAAAGGGGGTTGGGGTGAAAGTAGCATTTCATCCCAGACTTATAAGTATTGTTGAAAAAACACATTAAACCTTAACAAATTTAACAAGACCCATTTTTTTTCATTTAAAAAAAATTACAATTGTCTCCGTTTTAACTATAATAACTATCAAGATACTAAGTATTTTTATAAATAAAGGAGCGAAAAAATATATTTTTTATGAATTTGAAATGATTTTATGTATTTTTCATCCTTCGCCCTTTCTATAAATAAGTGACAGTTAAGAACTAGGATTCTTATCAGCTGTTTCGGTTTGTTTTATTCATTGATTTGGATTTTGGCGAATTTTGAAGCCACAAATTATTGGTAATTTTAGGGTGTCACACAATATCTCCTCTGTTTAGACATAGGCACTGTTTTAGCTTAACAAAATATCATGCTATATAATTATGCTTTTGATGCTTTTCTACACCATTGTAGCTGGTTATTGCCGCATTTAGTACTGTCTGACGCTTACCCGTCTGCCTGCTTTGTTGCTGTTTCCTCGTACAGGTACGGTACTTCTGCTATTCTTGCTATACAGCAGTGGTTGCTGCACTGTACTGCTATTCGCCTGCGACGTTGCAGTATATTTTGATCCTATGGTCACTATAGTCCTGTCGCCGAGAGAGGGGAAAAGGAACCGGATGGAGAGGGTACAAAACATTTTTTAATTACATCGTTCTGAGAAATAAAATATTTGAAATGAAATTTGAAAAAATGAAATTTTATATATATTTTTTTTCAATTGTGTGGATTATTAACGTAAGCCTACATTTCACTATGTATTGAAGGGATGTGATATGAAATAAAATTTATTAAATTATGAGAGTAGCTAAGCTCAGTCAACTAAGCATGTCATAGCAGCTGTGTGTACCCTGAATAGTATATGTTCACACAACCTTGGTTCACGTT